GCATAGGTCACTGACCCACATCGGGACTGGGGGGCGAAATTGAAATAATTATAATAGTCAGGGGTGCAGTGCTGCCGGAGCACTCCGGAGCGCATCCAGCACCTCTGTTTTGATCAATTAATCAATCAATATCGCCAACGCCTTTTCCCTCACGGGAATTCCACTACAGAGTTGGCAATAGTATATATATATATATATATATATATATATATATATATATATATATATATTATATATATAATAATATATATATATTTATTATATATATATTTATTATATATATATATATATATATATATATATATATATATATATATTGTAAATCAATGAAAATGGAATAATAATCACCCCATTGCTTGGGAAAAAGCTTAGAAGTATTCAAATCATCTTGTGTCACAGAAAGACTTCTTGTTGAAGCTAGTTTGATTAAGGAATTAAAATCAATAAACCTTAGTGATGGTCAGTTCAAAACTGATAATATGTTACATAAATGTATTTGTCAGTGGCCCAAGGTTAAAATGCTTTGAAAACCTTTGATCTAGATGTATGATAGTTATTCTGTGGGTCCCTTTTTTCTGACCTGACTTGGCTAGTCACGTCACCTCCCTTCTCTTAAGCTCCTCTACGTGTGTGTTGGTGTGGGGATTAGTGGATGTCATCATTTTGACCTGACCTCATGTTTTTAGGTCACCCTGTATATTTAAGCCTCTCTCTGTCCATGTAATCCAGTTGCCTCTGAAGATGTCTTGAATAAAGACGAAAGCTAAGGTACTCCGTTGTTTCCATCTTCCCGTGTGATTTTATCAAGATAAATATATATATATATATAAATATAAATATATATATATAAATATATATATATATATATATATATATATATATATATATATATATATATATATATATATATATATATATATATATATATATATATATATATATATATATATATATATATATATATATATATATGTGTGTGTGTGTGTGTGCAAATAAATCACTGTAGGTGCGCGTGATCTAGGTATATGCTGATAACCACAAGGAAAAAGAAAACACGAAGTTCCCAAGCGCTTTCGTGTAATTCACATCTTCAGGGGTAAGTGCAAAGTAAATTCCAAACTGTCCAGATAGATTCACCAAAGCAATCCAAGCCCTTAAGAAAAATAAGGATCTACATGTCACTAAAGCAGATAAAGCCAACACAGTAGTGATTTTAAACAAAGATGATTATATTTCTAAAATGAATGACCTTTTATGTGATGCTGAAACATATCCTAAACTCATAAATAATCCTCTCAACACAGTTAACACCCAGTTCAACAAAAAACTTAAGTCTCCATTGAGAGGCAAAGCTACTCTCATTAAACATCTTACTTGAACGTCCCCTCCACTGCCATACATGTACGGTGTAATCAAGACCCACAAGCCTAATAACCCAGCAAGACCCATCATTAGCTCAGTTGGGTCAATCTCTTTTAAATTATCTAAATGGTTAGTTTCTTTACTAAATCCCCTAGTTGGCAACATTTCTAACTCTAATATTAAGAATAATATGGATCTGGTTGATAAACTTAATAACTTACACATTAATTATGATTTTAAACTGGTCAGTTTTGATGTAACATCACTCTTTACAAAGGTCCCAGTTGATGATTTACTAGAGTTCCTCATAGATTCCCTGGATAATATTTCATTGCCTGTCTCGAAAGACGACTTCGTCGAACTCATCAAACTATGTATTAAGGATTGTAAATTTGAATTCAATGGAGAATATTATGCTAAAAAATTTGGTATGGCAATGGGTAATCCACTCTCACCTGTATTAAGCAACCTATATATGGAATTCTTTGAAAAGAAACTATCTTACCACCTTCAGCAGTCTGGTTTAGATATGTAGATGATGTATTATGTCTCTGGCCAAGTAATGAGGATCTAAAAGCTTTCCTGCCACAGCTTAATAACTTAGCCCCCTCGATCAAATTCACTATGGAATTAAAGCATGACTGTAAATTGCCTTTCCTAGATTATCTGATCCACAGAATAGGTAACACCTTTAAGTTCAGTATTTATAGAAAACCTACTAATGTGTGTTCATACATTCATTATTATTCTGCCCACCATAATAGAGTCAAACATTCCGTATTTTCAACAATGTTTTTACGTGCTTTGAGAATTTGCAGCCCGGAATTCATTGATGAGGAATATAAATATATCTATAATATTGGCTCAAACCTTAAATACCCTATATCTTTCATAGACAAATGCCTGAACATTACTAAGAAATATTTTTATGGAACTCATCCCAAGCCTACCCATGACCATAAGAATCTCTTAGTATTACCATTTCACAAAAATTTCTCAAATTCCTTTACAACTAAAAACCTGGAACGTCAATGTGGCATTTAAAAACTCATGCACTGTTAAACAAATGTTAATCAAGAACTCCCCCAACAATACAAGTGGCTGCATTTATAAAGTCCCTTGCAAGGAATGTAATATGTTTTACTTGGGCCAGACAGGTAAATATCTTGTAACTAGACTTAAACAACATAAATATTGGGTTAGGACAGGCCAGGAATCCAATACTCTATTTGTTCATTTGAGGGATAATAAACATTGCATTGACTGGGATAATGCCTCCTCAATATTACCTTGCAATTCAATTGACAGTAGGAACATTATAGAATCTAGTCTCATTAAACAACCGAATCCGTTAACATGAATTTGAGTAATGGAATGTACAAATTTGACAATTTTGTAATTAAGATTTGTAACCAGGTGAGAAGGTTGGGTCAGTTTTTCCCTCTGACCTGACTACCGACCGCTGCGGTGCTTTGTGAAGATTAGTAGGGTCATTACCTATACTTGACCTCTGTGGACTTTATCTCGCCCTCCTCTGTATATATATATATATATATATATATATATATATATATATATATATATATATATATATATATATATATATATATATATATATATATATATATATATATATATAACTTGTTCTGCACTTCTACTTAGTTTGTACTCACCCCTGAAGATGTGAATTACACGAAAGCGCTTGGGAACTTCGTGTTTTCTTTTTCCTTGTGGTTATCAGCATATCAACAACCAGCAGCAGCAACAACCTTAGCAACCAACAACCTTAACCTTAACCAATATGCTATATGTATATGTAACAACATATATATATATATACCATTGCCACCCCCTGTAGTGGAGTTCCCGTGATGGTCAGTTCAAAACTGATAAAATGTTACATAAATTTATTTGTCAGTGGCCCAAGGTTTAAAATGTTTTGAAAACCTTGGATCTAGATGTAGGATAGTTATTTAGTGGGTCCCTTATTTTTGACCTGATCTGACTAGTCACGTCACCCCCTTCTCTTAAGCTCCTCTACGTGTGTGTTGGTATATATATATATATATATATATATATATATATATATATATATATATATATATATATATATATATATATATATATATATATCACAAATTATCTTGCTAAAGAAATGTAAACGTCCAAGCCTTGGAAAGTGAAGCGACTGAATGCCAGCACCAGTTTCTGAGGCTCCCCTTTGGACGTTCTTCAATCAACTGGCAGTCTTTAGAGAACAATCAGAGTTGCAGTACTCCAAATAAGCTACAATATACATCACTTTTGAAAAGCCGGATGAGAGACGAGCCATTTTGATATTTGCATAGTTGTCGTATAAATCCTATTAGTTTATATGCATGGTTTACATCCCATGATCTGAGAACTGCATAGTCTTTAATTCATTGTCAACATAAAAACCCAGACCTCTCCAAACCTATCTAGTTTCGGTTTGAGAAATGTCTTCATTGCCGTGGAACGCACTCATTCTTACGTACTGTACACATACAAATGATACACTACACATACACTCTTACGTAGGTATATATACAAACACAAGCAAATACACAATAATACAGCTTTATCAAGATACTGTATAAAATTTCGCTTGCAAACGCCAAATTTTGTAAATGAAACACATAAGCGTGTAAACACATTTAGGCTATATATGTTTGGTATACATAACCATGCACACACTGCTACGACTGTTAAGACTACCCCTGTATTATCCGTCACCAGTTAGTTTTATCATGTATGTGTGTTAGCTGTGAGTTAATTGTTACCTAAAATTTTGTATCGTATATAATTAAATTTTAAATTAAGAAATAATGAAAGATTTAAAATTGAGTGAATTCTTATTGGAATTCAATCCGCCTTTACTTATCGAATAAACTACTTCCCATTTATTAAGTGTTCACATAAACGCAGAAATTAGGTAACCGGGTAACAAAGACCTCAGGCAATAACCATTCATATTTACCTTATTGACGTGTTAACCGGTTTATATATTTGCGTCTGTACTTTCTTGGGTCACTGACTTTACACATCTATTTTTTTTCCGAACCTTCCGTCTTGTATTGCTTCTTCCGGTCAGCTTTATAAAGTTAATCTCATTAACATGTGCACACATTTGTCTGATATCGATTTTACGCAAACTCAAGTCTTTAAAAACACTCTTCTTTTTGCTGTCTTTAATAAATAGAAGTAGCTAGGTTTCTTATATATCTACATATGTACGATTAAATTGAATGATTTGAAGATTTGTTTTGGGGGGAAATATTAATAATAATGTCTATAAAAATCAAGTGACAGATGCTTTGAACGAGGCGCTGAAAAACAAGCCAATCATAATACGAGCTTCATCAGTCTTATGCGACTCTGACCAATAAGAATGAGCCATATAATCAAAACATGACTACGTAACCCTTGAACACACTAAGAAAACCAAGTCTTCTAAAACTGATCTATTTACCTCAAGATTCTTCAGTAAATAGATAAATACAAATATTATATTAAATTAATTTTTGCAAACTTTTTAATTAAAATTATATTATCATTATTAGTATATTATATTCCGTTATTTAAAATATATTCAATATTTTTGGAACTTTGCTTACCAACAAATCGTCGTCAGCTGAGGAGGACGGAGAGATCTACTAGGAGGGAGGAGTAGCGGAACCTAGGCTTTGTGTAGTCACCTCCCTCTTTCTTCGGCATTAAAGGCGTTTTAATTAATTATTTAAAGGTTAGTATACCTGGGAAAGCGGTACTTCACAGCAGTTGTATGTATTGAATGTTTAAACGATATGTGGAAACGCCGAGGAAAAAACTACTAACATTACCATTGAGAGGAGTGTCGTTAGTCCCTGGGAGTTGTGCCAGGGTTTGTCTGTTTCTCACCCGAGGTAAATAAAGTTATAGTCGAAAAGAAAACTTAAGAAAACAGACATCGTTTTAGAAACTTTGTGGAATTTTGTTAAATAAGTTTGTCATCCGTTCAATATACTGTACTGTACCTATATACGCATGTATTTTGGTGTTAACCCAAATATGTCTGGTGTAGAATTCATATAGTTGTTGGTAATGTGATGTCAAACGCAAAATATTATGAATTCATGGTATTACAGGTAATATCGTTTCGGTCATCCAGCGAATTTTAGGATTTTAATTACCACTTTTTTGGTTAGGTTGCATTTGAGAAGCAGTGCTGTGACCGAATTTTATCGGTTAGGTTAGGTTGAAATTGTTTTTCCAATGGGTTTTGATGTGTTTTTAATGATTGTAAAAATTATTTCTCTTGCAAATTACTACTTTTTGTGATTTTCCTCCATCCAAAACCTCTGGTTCCCACTGGGGTCCCTCATTATCGTTGAATAAAGAGGGGGGGGGGGGAACTCAAAAAGTAGTAATTTGCAGTAGAAAAGTAGGTCAGAATCGTTCAAAACATGAATAATCACTGGAAAAACATATTTTCAACTTCCAAATAGGTGGATGACAAACGATAATTTTACCAAAATCTTTAATGAGAGAGTATTCATTTAAATAAGTGTTGTCATTAGTAGTGTAATAATTTATTAAATGGAATCTTACCAAAATAGATCTTTTTGGTATGTGTTTACACTTGTTGCTTGCCTGAACCAGGAACTTGAGGACATTTCACCGTTGAAAATAAATGGGTTAATATTCGTTTTTATCCCAATAGGTAGTTCGGATTTTGTACCATTATCACTAGGATTCTATTTAAGGTTAGGTCAAGTTAGGTTAGGTTAGGTCAGGTCAGGTCAATTAAAAAACACCAAAATAAACTAGAAAAATATCATACCAAAGGGGGGAAATTTTGATAATTTTTTTTATTTACTGTTAAATGGTTTCTTCATGAAAAAGCAAAATAATGGACAAGCAAACCTTACCTAACCTACCTAATTCCTAACCTTTTTATTGTCATTTCGATTTTCTTATTTACTATCAACCAAACAACATTTCAAAAGAATAAACAAATAACCTTTACACTCCAATTTTAAATTGTAATAAACACACCCTATGAGAATGCCATTAATTTTTTGGCACGTTAACAAAGGCCAGAGACGCTCCCATATAGCAGACGATGTGAACCAAAACATAATGCCACGGGAGATCCAACGGCACCATAATTACAGTAAATAATTTATTTCTTCGTCTACAAAGCATGAAGAGTCATGAAATACCGCCATATGAAAAGTGTTTGTACTGTAGTGTTTTTACTCTGCTATTTCCCTCTTCTTTCATGCCCTGCCCACTGACAAGTACAGCATGCCCTTCAAATTCGCGGGGGTTAGGTTCTCAAAATGGCCGCTTGGCCGGGAATAGCCAAATCCATGAATATCATTTGCTGACGGGGGGGGGGGGTTACATTTTTACTCGTGTGCAAAGAAATTGATACAGGTGCTCCTCTACTAACGAACGAGTTGTGTTCCTGAGGCTTCTTTGCAAGTACAACTTTACTCTTGTAGATACCAAACATATTGTAAAAAAGGAAAAGATTATGGATATTTAGTACAGCTATACCCTTTAATACAGCCTTAAAACCTGGCTCACTCTTCTCGTCTTAGGTAATGTTTGTTCTATCTGGAATTTTCTTCAAAATAATCCAATATCATCCACATTAAACACCTGTTCTGGCAGGTAACCCCCCACTTAGTGATGATGTTTGTATCTCTGAAAGTTTGTAAGTTGAACTTTCTCAAGTAGAGGACCACCTGTTTGTGTTTGCCCTTAGGAGAATAAGTTCTTATACCTGTTTGTATACTGTATGTGTGTGTGTGTGTGTAGACACACACACACAAAACACAGACAAATACTTGTAAATAATAATGGGAAAATCCTCTCGCCAATAATCAGAAACAAATGTACAGTATTAAAAATGTGAGTTTCTACCCTTAAATCAATTCCGTGCTTTATTAATAACAAAGCATGGAGTGGACTTGAGGGTAGACTCACATTTTGAATACATTTGTTTCTGATTATTGGTGAGAGGATTTTCCAATTAATATTTATTTGTATGTGTTTTGTGATTGTCTCTACACACACACACACACACACATGCAGTATATACAATACAGGTAAAAGAAATTGCTGTCTCTTAAAACGAATGGCTTCCTGTCCCAGCCGTGAAAATGCCAGTAACTTTAAAACTACCCTTAGACATTCTTGGGTACATCCAGGGTGTCATCTGCGAATAATCTAGGTCTGCGAACTGTCAGGGCATGCTGTAATTTATGATTGAAGGGTTAGGCTATAAAGAAAAAAATACTTCCATGTTGTCATTTCAACTTTATTGTCAGTAGCTATCATCCAAAGAACAACTGTGGAAAATATGAACAAAATATATGAACATGTTTGGGTGATAACTGTCTACTACACTTTTACCATCACCTGACTGTACAGTACATGAGTGTTCAGGAAGAGAAATTCATGAAAATCTTTTATGAGAAATGTTTTCTTTGTGCAATTTTTGGCCCTTTCATAAAGTAAGAATTTTCTTTTCTTTGGTGAATTGTCCTCAGTTTACTGGTTCAGGCATAATACAGTACAGTACTGTCCTTATGGCATCCAGAGTTGATTTCTGTGAGCAAGAGTAATATTTTCCTTACTGGAGATACTTCAGAACACATTGAATATGGATGGTAATAACAGTGTTTGACTTTTAACCTCTCTGATGCAGCTTTTAATCATTTCTGGAAAATAAGGAAATGGTGGTTCATGTGTTTTTTAATTATTGTATGAAACTATTTTTACCAAAGGTGGGGTTCTTTGATCGGTATCCGACCGAATAACCACTGGTTATTTAACTAGGATCTAAAAAAAGTAAGTGCTTCTGGCTACAGAAAATTCTACATATGTACAGTATTATTTTATTGATTATTTCAAACTTCTGTACTGTTTAGAAAAAAAGGATTAAATAGAAATAATAAAGGCACAGTAATCTCTCTGTTAGCCGGAATCCCTCAAACCCGGAACTCTCCGATAGACGGAATTAAAATTTGCTCGGAAAAGCTTTCCCATAGCTGGAATTTTCCAAAAATTTCCGGCTTTGGGGAAAAATTTCCTGAGGTTGAAAATCGAGATTATTTTCCAAAAATGTCTGAATAAAGATGAAAGCTAAGTATTTTTTGGGGGACCTGACTCGACTCAACGTCAGGTGGAGGTGGGTGGGCAGGGGGGTGTTAGTGGTGTCATATTACTGACCTGATGCAATGTCTTGAATAAACACAAAGGCTAAAGTATTTATAGGGAGATTGTGATAAGTAGAAGTGAGAAAAGTTGTATCCCTTTAACATTACTGTACATTACATAACATTTTCAAATATGGAGTGAGAAAGCAGAAATGTGTGGGTGATTAGAGATATGGAGTGGAAAGGAGTGTGTCCTGCACCAGTGTGCCAAGCGATAAACTCCTCAACAGCTGATCTTTTAATTCGCCTCCATGCAGTCACACAACAAGACCCTCACTGGATGATTGTTGTCTTAATTTTTGTGTGTGTGTGTGCGTGCATGCTAAACATCCAAAGAAATATTATTGAGCTTGCCAAGAACATTGTAGGATTTGAAGAAGTTGATGAAGAGAATGTTCGGGAGTCAGGTGGTGAGGTGACATGCCAAGACACTTACACAGCACACACATTAACAGCACTACTAAACCATTGTCTTATAACATTTTACTTTATAATTTTTATTTTAAAATTAATAGGTACATGATGGTTCAACTTGGCTACTTTCGCACTTAAAAACTGATCAATGAATAAACCAGGGCATATGGAGACGTGAAGATTTGCATGTGCAACCATAACTGCTGAGCAACTGCATAAATTATCACAACCTGTACTCAAATGTACTAAGTTAATTACTAAAAAATATATCTCAAGTGCAAAATATGGGTTGTTTACAGTATACTCAAAATAGTTGCTATCTTGCAAGAATTCCAGCAATGCAAGTTATATTCAGCTAAATCAAGTCGGTGACATTTTTTACGTAAAAAACTTAAACTCCCTGCCTTTTATAATCCTTGAGTACACGTTAATCTCCCCTCCTGGCTGTCAACACCCCACCTCCTTCCCTCCTCCCAGCCATAAGGGGGAGCAGATGGCGGTGGTAACGATTAATAGGATGAATTTTGTTTTAGGCTTAAAGTTTTCTCTTATAAATTACCACAGACTTAAATTAGCAGATTATAACTTGCATTGTTGGAATCCTTGTAAGATATCGATTAATTTGAGTATAAACATTTCATAATTTGCATAAGAGATAAAATTTTTAGTCCTTTAGTATAGTACATTGAGTGCAAAATGAGTACAGTAATATGCTGCTCAAAATTATGGCTTTTTCACAGGGAAAAGTCTGTATAACTAGCCCCAGTGGTTAGGATATTATGGTATCGAATATTATGGAGTACTTCAAATAAATTCTTTGTTTAGTTCTTTACATAGAGACTTGCGGATAGAAACTGTAATAATTTGAGCTTATTAATACCAGTACTCTTCATATACAGTAAAATACTTAGTTTTACCCTATTAATCGGCTTCTCATTTAAGGATATCATATTTGAAACATCTAGAGAATTTATTCAGGATCATTATGGTATCAAATTCATCTATCTAACACAAGTAGAAGTTTTGAAGATTATAACAAATGCTGTGAGGGAGGGAGCGGAGGAGGGGTCCATTGGAGGGTAAATGTGACCCCCTTCCCTGCAAAGGGTCACACTGGTTGTTTGTCAGCAACTACTGTACTGCCTCATTTATGATACAATATTGCACGTATATTCTTTTCATGAATTAGTAAAGATTTGTTACTGTAATAATCTGAGCTTATTAATACCTGTACCCTTCATATACAATACAGTACTATATATATGTACACCTCATAGATAAAAGACAATGTTATTCAAGACATCTTCAGGTCATACGACCCACTAATCCCCTACCCAACAATGGGTGACCTGACATTGCATCAGGTCAGGTTAGTAACATGACCCAATAATATCCCACCCAACCTCCATCACAAGTATTAAGCTGTTATTAGTTATGTATTACAGTCAATTGAGTGAAGTGTCTGCCTATTCTAGGCCAAAGATGACAGGATCTGCTGGTGAGTACAATATATACAGTAGCATACATTATTTTGTTTATAGTATGAACAATATTGTACAGTTTTATGGATTTCTTTGTATACAAAATTGTCTCACATCATAGTACATTGAATAAATAAACAAGGAGTGTGATGATAATAATGTGTAATAAATGTATAATACAGTGTACAAAAATGAAAGATATGTAGATTTTGCTCATCCCAAGCCAAGTTGGGGCTCTTCTACCAGTAATTATAAAGTACATGATCCATTATCCTTAAACATTCTTTTATACAGAAATAATTACAAATTTATAATAATATCAAATGCATACTGTACAAATATACAGTTCAGTGCCGTACATTATGTGAATTACAGTATAAAATTTAATTGAAAGTTGTTTCCATAATGTTCCATCTCAGGGTTTTTGTCAACTTACCACCCACTATCATGGACCACTCCACATCAATTAGCTACAAGCTCCATCTACACGAGTTTTTACCACTTGTACAACATTAAAACAATAAGCATGTAATAAGTGTAAGAATATATAAAGAGCTATATACTTTATAAGGTGCCACTATAGCGTGCTGTCTACCGGGACATTTACACTATAATGTGCGGTCTACCTGCGATATCTACATTGCAGGCTGCAATTTAGTATTGTTATATAGTAAAGTTTTATGATAAAAAAAACAAAAAAAATTAAATAATTTTTTAATGATCATCATATAAACAAAACATATAAAGATGTTGAATAATAGCATAATAGTAATGACATAAACTTCGTATCATATTCTTTGTAAATTGTAAACCTAACCTAACCCCCTTTTATAAGGTTGGTTAGGGTCCTGGTGTTCAGGTAGTCAGGTCCGTAGACTATGAATATTGCGGTATACCGCACGCTATAGTAGCACCCTTTATAAGTTGTGATAATTAGTTAATTATTGTGAAGTATGTACACACAGTAAAAAAAAGTATCGCTCGGTCTGCTGACTTCTGTAATTATCCATACATCACCTGATGTGCCAGGAGAGTTGGCATGCATGCCTGTATGGCAAAGGTTTCCACCAACCTATGGTAGCAACAGATATGAGGACACCCTCAGGCAAGGACGGCGGGACTACCACTATATCACAGGACCAACACTATCCCTCATCCCTGGTGTTATATTGTTTCTCACATAATCCATGCGGCACTTTTTTTTTTTACTGTGTGTACACCCACTAAAATATTATTCGGCACCCGTGTCATATTGTATCACGCCGTAAGGGTGCCGAATAATTATTTAGTGGGTGTACAGTACAGACCGGTCAGAGAGGCCATCCTGATGTGTGCCAATAAGTTGTATACCCAATAAAAAATTACTTAGCACCCTTACGGTGTGATACACTATGACACGGGTGCCGAATAATTTTTTAGTGGGTGTACATTGTATTCTCCGTCTTATGAAAGATCATCTACTGTACTGTACTGTTCATCCTTTACCACATTTGTGTAGTTTGTAAAGTCTAATTTCATCTCTAAAATGACACTTACAATTTTTTCTTGATAAAAGAAAAATAAGCACAATTCCCTGGTACCGATATTTCCTTCAATATTTGCTATTATGTCTTGCCCACTGGAATTAATGATTCAATTATTCTGATAAGATTTTGCATGCAGAGAGAAGCCTTCATAACAAAAGAACATTAGTACATAAATCATACACAGTACAGCTCCTCCCCGATTTACGACCTACTCGACTTACGTCCACCCGCACTTACGACCTGCCTCAGTCGTACCAAAATTTGGTCAAATTATATATTTTTGAGTCCCAAAGTCAGTACACAGACAAAATTTTCATCTGTAATTCACTTTAAAATGACTGGCAAGCTTAAAAGTGAGCGTTTTGTGGTGCTGAGAAGAAAAAGAGACCCCCGTTTTCGATTTTCTATGTATTATTTAAGCATTTCCGACATGACCATTTCGACTTACGACCTGGATGTTGGTCCCTAACCCTGTCATAAGTCGGGGAGCAGCTGTATAGGCTGACTGGTATAGAAATTGAGTACCTGTACAGTACCCGTACAGTATATGTTCTATGGATATGGATACTGTAATGATGTCTGTTGCATTTTGGGTTAATTACTTTGGCCTTTCCTTTCTTGAAAATTATAAATTTGACTTTGCATTGTGTAATTGGGTGGAAAAAAGAAACCATGTACAGTACACTACTGTACAGGTACCAGTAGCTATGTGTATACAGTATCAGGTTCTTGTGAAGCCTGTGTAACTGAAGGCAACCTGTATGTTGTTAGTGTTAGGACAGTTGAGATTGCATTCTTTGGTAGAGTAACATATTAATTACTCTTAATTATTTGTAGATAAAAAATAAGAAGCTGTACTTTTGTAATTTATTCCCTTTGATACTGATTCTGAGACAATATAAGAACTAAATTTTCACCATTAGAGCACCTTGATATTCTTACCTTGAGTCCAAAAATATCACATGACATTTGCAAAAGATAATACAGTAGTATTTTTATACTGTACCCAGAAACATGTAATGATCTTCATGGGCGATTTACAATGTAAATGTATTAGATGTAGTTTTTGACGTATATGTACAGTAGATAAAATTAAGGACCCATACTATATATTTCTTTGTTATTTATTAAGGTTTAGGTGAATTATGAAAATACAGTATTTTGTACTGAGCTTGAATATAGTTAATTGAGCTTATTATTTATTTTAGTACAGTGGAGTGTTTAAGTTAGTTAGTAACAGGAAAGTTTCTTTGCTGTTTTCCAGCATTGGTGGTAAGATTAACAGATGAGATGGCTTACAAACAAATTAATGTTTCACCTGGCAGATGGAAGGGAGTGTGACTCTGATCATAAAAGCAGCCAATCAGAGTGTCCCAGACCAACGCATGGACTGTGATTTGAATTGGTCTGTGTTTTACCTCAAGGATCATCTATCAATCATACATCCTTCCAAACCAGTAAGTAATCAATACTCTTGATGACACCATTAAGTGTTGAGGGACCTTCAAAAAGAAAGTCTTAGAAGGTAGGGGGTGGCCTTCCTAATCTTTAGATGTTTTTCCACATTTGTGAGTTTAATTAAGATATTATACCTTAAAAACAAAAAAAAAACCTCCCCCCCACATGGCCACCATTGTTAATGAGAGAGTTGAGAGTTAAGCAGCAAGGATAAGTAGGTATGATCTTTGTGTGTTTTCTGAGCTTCTATTTGTTAATGTGTGATATAGTCTCTTGACCACCAAAGTGTCAGAGTGCCAAGGGAAGATGAACATTGCTTAGAAGGATAGCTAGAAACTGTACAGTAATTTTCAATAAAATTATCATACAAAGTCACTTTTTTCAGTATTTACATAGATAGATATTGCAGGCATACAAACAATGGTAAAAAGTACCAGGTAAGTTGAAGTGACTGATGATGTTTCAAGAAAGCTTCACATATTTAAAATATTTCATTCATACTGTTTTTTTTTTTAAATTGCCAAGATTAAATTATGAAGATATAGTGGGCTTCATAGTGGCTTTTTTCTTATATACACTGTATTGATTTATGGAGTACAGTCAGTTCTGCTATAACTCGATAGTTGTGTTCTTGTAAAACATCGTGTTATAGAAATTCGCGTAATAGAAATAACAGGGCTTGTGGAGAAAATAGGGTTAGGTGCAGATTACTACTCGAAGTCGAAAAAAATTTAGTAGTTAACCTAACACAAAGGTTACCACAGTCTAAATAATTGTTACATTCATATCTAATAATGAAATCGTACAGTAAATGTAACACTTTACCTTGAAAAAATGTGAATATAACTTGATGGGGGAGAAGGGTGATTTTGAGGTTGATAACATCGAGCTTCTCTTCAAGGGTTATAGCCTTTCTTATACGATCATCACCGGGAATGCGATCACCAGAACGCTTCTTGAAGATATTCTTCTTTACCATATTCACAGTTAATACCACAATTAAGCAAAAATTGCGTTACACCAAACAAGCGTTCACGTTATACAAATATCGTTCCTTTATTCATAAATTGCGTTAGAGCCAATTCGCGTTGTCAAAACACGCATTATAGCAGAACTCACTGTACAGTACATTATGTTGGACTGTTTGGTCCTGTAACCATTTTGCAGTGTTTCCTTATTCTAAGATTATGTTGATGCTTGTTTTATTATTCATTAGATGCAAATCAACATATCAGCTTGAAATAATTTGTGAAAAACTAGGAGAGAGAACAAAATAGAGAATTAAAAGGGATTTAACTGAAATTTAAAGAAATTGAGTGACAAAAAGTTGGATGATTAACAATACAGTACAGTACAGTGCTCCCCCCAAAGTACGCAGATTTTAATCCCACGGAACCCAACTACACGAATCAGCGTCATGCAACCCAAATTCCAAAGAACATGGGGGTCCCAAGTAAGAGGGCATAAATTTCCGTCTGGTATGGCCGAATGAGGGAGAGAGAGAGGAAGTGAACAGAAGAGCTGGCTGTTGATTGGCTGAGTGGCCACTACCAACAAATAAGAGATGAGGACATCACCAACGACGTGGATGCCAGTCCCAGTCCTCCTCTCCTCAAGACACGACAGTGGCTTGCTTTTTCCTGTATTTTTGAGGTGTGTTTTGCTGCGACAGCTACTATGGATACCCCACCTACTGCTGTTGGGACTCTAGTACCTGCCCAGCCAGGCAGAAGAGTGAAGTTGATGACCCTGGCATGCAAGAAGGAGATAATAGACTGGCTGGATAATGGCAAGAAATTGTTTATTTTTCTTAATTAAGGACTTATTTTTGTTTTATTATTCACCTTGTATAACTAAGGTACACATATTTAACTAAAGGTAACTTTCATAGAAGTTATGTGCAGAAAAAGTGCCTTGAGAGACCAGTTTTGCGTATATGGTGTGTGTCTGGAGGGATCCCGGAACCAATTTTTTATTTTTTCCCATTACAGTAGTTTATAGTACCCAAGTGAGCGCTGCTCCATTGGTACCAATTACCCGTGTATTTGGGAGAGAGCACTGTATAATAAAGAAAATGGGCCCTTGATAAAAATCTGTGGAGACCAATTATGACAAAGGGAAGCAGTTGGAAATATGTATAAAGCTCCTGGAACCACATAACAAGAATTTAATAGAAACTTTATTTACCCTATTTAATCATTAAGATATTAGGTAGTCTCATGTTTCTATTATATATTCTGAAACTATTGTCCTTTTTTTTGCTGTAAAGTGATTTTTATATTGTGATATCAAAATATTAATTGGATAAATACTTTTAATTATGTAAATCTCATTTTCTTTATACTTATAAATACTGTATGTACAGTACTACAAAGATTTAAGTGATATGGCAACATCAGGTGTTGGGAACTGGCCAGGTGTGTTCAGCACCTGTGAGATAATTATGACAGCCAAGGGAGTGGTGTCCCACCTGCAGCAGGGGTAAGCTGCATGTTTCACAGGATATAATTTATGAGTTTTTGGAGATTCTTTATTAGAGTTTGTACTGTAAGTATACAGTACCTAAATTTTTACCAGGAATGCATTCCTGATGTTGTAAACTGATGACTGTACTTTTAAATCAAATGGTTTTTATCCAATGAATACCATTACTGTATAAACTGTGAGATATGTTCCTCTAAAAAAATCTTGGGCACATAATATAATGACAATTTTCAACACAACTGGAATATTTTCATGCATAAAATTGAATGTACAGTACAATTATACATCAACAACAGTTTAATGAAAAACAAAATTATTCATTATTTAATTGTTGCCACAGAGAGCTGTAGTACTAAAACTTTACTGATGGCTGTCATCTTTTTACTACCCTCAGTGCTCCTTATCACCCCCAACTTAACATTGACAGCAATGACTGTTACCACTAGGGGTATTGCAGATGCTCATTTCACTTGCTGTTTCCTTCCCTGACATCTCTAAATGGGGTAAATTTCTTGGAAATGCAAGAAATTGCAGGAGTTCTTTTGAAGTGTAGAGCTAAATGATTCCATTGGCTTGTAAGTAATTTTATGAAAAACATGTCATGGCCAGTCAAGTAGCTTGGAACATACAGTTTAACATTGTTTATATAGATACTCTGTATCCAATAATGGGGTGAATATTTGTTTCTTAACCCCAAAATTTCAAATCCTGTTTGATTTGAAAAATATGTAAACAAAACAAAAATATAAATTGAAATAAAGGTGTAAATTATTTACTCAGGGAGGAGTGAATTTCTTAGTTAATCATAAATCAAAGTATACTGTACTGTATACCTGTACAGTATTGTGGTTCTCTGGGTAGTTTTTAACTCTTATGTAAATTCCCATGAACTGGAAAATTGTACGATATCTTCTACTCGGATCTCTAGATGACAGAAATAGAAAGTTTCAATCTGTGGTGGGATGTTGTGACTGAGCAGAAAATATACTTGCCTCCTGTCCTCAAAATTGCTGGTTCATCCCCAGAGCACCCCTGTCCACCCAGCTTTGAAAGAGTACCTAACTTTATGGTTAGTGAAGTGAAGGCAGTCATGTACGGTGCCAGCCATACTGCTTCCTTGTGTACCTATAAAGGGGTCTTGTCTTCAGTGTGTTATATATGCACTGCCCCTAATGGTCCATCTGGCCTATGGAAGTGACTCGTTTTTTCCTATTATTGGTGTGGTTTTGGTAGTTGCATGGTCGGGAGGTAAGGCCACAAGGTTAAATCCAGTCATCAGAACTCAAACATTGTCATGGGTTGCGTTAGGCTTACCCATGCAACCAACTCCAAAGTTTGTTTTACTAGAGATAAGGCACCCGGCGTGCCATGACTGCGACATATATTTTCCATTAGTGGTATGTTAGCCAGCCTATAGGGGGAGGCCAGTGAGACAGTGTTGTACTGTTCATCGCCTCGTGCCCCAAAACCTCATTTTAAGTTGTATCCCCTAGGTCATGAGTTAGTTAAGACGTCGTCCCCATCCTCTCCCTCCTGAAGGGTACGGGACACCACACAGAGTCCTCCACTGCGACCCTGTCCTGTGGACCGTCGTCGATGCGAGATTAAGTGTGCTAACCTAGGTTTGTTATTCCCGTGGAAATATTACGTGTGGATGCCTGGTTGCAACAAAAGCAATTCAGGCTGGCTTTTCAGACCTACAGTAAATGGTTAATCAATTCACGCTTACAAAGTTCTCCTGCACGACACCCGTCTACAGTGACCGTGATCGACACGAGACTAAGTGTGTTAACCTAGGTTTGTTATCCCCGTGGAAATATCACTTGTGGAAGCCTGGTTGTGACAAAAGCAATCCAGGCTGGTCTATTGCACCTATGTGGTTAAACATGTCACGCTTACCAGTTCTCCTTTCTGCGACATCCGTCTACAGTGGCACGAGATTATGTGTGGTAACCCAAGAGTACCTTTTTGTTGTTATTTCCCGTGGAAAGAAGTTCTTGTGCGGAAGCCTGGTTGCAACAAGAGCAATCCAGGCTGGCAGTAAATGTATCACTTGAATAATTAAGGCTCTGTTAAGTCATACCCATAGTAGAGTCATCACATGTGTCCCCAAGTTGAAAATTCCCTCTGTTAGAAGATAAATTTTATTACAGCGTGAACGTGAGTGACTCATATATCCATGCAAATTGTAAATCATTATATGGAAGCTTGACAATATATCCATGCAAATTGTAAATCATTGTATGGAAGCTTGACAAATAAATGTAAGTGCAATTATCTGCCCGTATCTGTGATCCTATCTTGTTATTACTAAAGGTAATGACAAAGTATAACCAATAACTTAGATTGATGTTGGAAATTAATGGAATTCATTAAATCATGATTTATCAAATATAAATTATGGATTGTCAGGTGGTGGAGTGAATTTCTATGTAGATACACCATAATCTCCTGCAAGTAACCAGTGTGAAGGTATCGAACTCTACGGTAAGAAATATAAGAAACACAATACAGCTCCTCCCCGACTTACGACCTACTCGACTTAAGTCCACCCGCGCTAACGACTTGCCACAGTCGTACCAAAATTTGGTCAAATTACGTATTTTTGAGTCCCAAAGTCAGTACACAGACAAAATTTTCATCTGTAATTCACTTTAAAATGGCTGGCAAGCTTAAAAGTGAGTGTTTTGTGGTGCTGAGAAGAAAAAGAGACCCCCGTTTTCGATTTTCTATGTATTATTTAAGCATTTCCGACATGACCATTTAGACTTACGACCTGGATGTTGGTCCCTAACCCTGTCATAAGTCGGGGAGCAGCTGTATATTATAGTCTTTATATAATATAACTCACACTTAGACCACTACAATATAAAAACCATGAAACACAGTGATGTTAGGCAATATATCAAGTATAGTGATGTTCTATCTGGCATAAGTTCAAAATGCTTAATCTTGTAGTTTAAGGTCTTGCAACAGTGTTAGATGGGTTGTTTATCTATGTAGTTTCAATTAGTTCTAAAAAATGTCATTCACTGACTTACATTTACAAAATGTAACCAAGTCACAATGAATGAAACTTTACATATTAATTCAAATTTAATGATTAACTGTATGTACAGGGGTATCTCCGTTAGCTGGAACAATTGGTGCAGAGCACTAACGGGAATGAGAGATTTCCGGGTAACGAGACGACTCTCTCAAACCCGGAAAAAATCCCCCATCCCTGGAATTTTCCGGGTAATGGAAAAATTTTCTCTGAATTAACAGAAAATGCACCCGATTTTCATTTCTCAAACCTGGAAAAAACGCCCCCATCCTCGGAAATTTCCGGGTACTGGGAAAATTTTCCGGAAAATGTGCCTATTTGAAAATCTTTCCCTAAGCTGTAATTTTCCGGAAAATTCTGGCTTTGGGAGCGCTTTTCCGAGAAAATTTAGATTCTGGTTATCAGAAAGTTCCGGGTGTGAGGGATTTCGGCTAACGGAGATATTACTGTACTTTGAAAATATGGAATTTAAAAAAATAATAATATTACATCTTTTCCAATTTTGGCAGAAAGTGGAAGAACAACGGCTCATCTATTCAGGTCAATTGCTGCTCGACAATCTACTACTACGAAACGTCTTACGGCACCCTACTGAAAATAACGCCTACACTATTCACCTTGTATGTTCACCCAAACGTAACTCTCCATACACATCAACAAGCTTACAAACTTCACCCTCAGTCAGTCAAAGGAGACAGTCTTCACCTGGGTCTTCACAAGTTAGTGGTCAGTCATCACCACGTCAGGTTCCATCAGACATGAATACAGATCAAGTTGAAGATAGAACGGTTCCTCAGCAGGATGGTTCCCCACCTTCTCCTCCACCTGACAATCCAGTAAATAATGATTCAACAGGTGAGAATGTACTTTATGTAGAACTCTTTATTCCCTTCTCTCCTGATAAAGAAACCTGGATCTCCTGCATGGTTCAGCCTTTTTAACCAAAGGGCAACTAAATTCAAGCACTAGTAATGTTAACAAAACTAAGAAATTTACAAAACTTTATCCTTTCACACTGAACCCACTCTTGACACATCTTTCTGGCCATCCATGCTATCATAAACGTGTTCCTTTTACTGGCTTGCTCATTGTATGTTACTTCTACATAACTTTATATCATTTACAGATAATCATGTCTACCCTCACATGGAAAATTATTCACATTTCAGGTTTTATTATAGACTCTTGTACAGCTGAGCATATACGTAATGGTGTGGCACTGTATGTCTATCTGCTGACATTATTATTCCCGAAATGTAACGAGATATTATACAGTGAACCTTCAAAGATCTGGACTAAAAGGGGGGCCCACCTGTCCAAAAAAGCTGATTGTCCATATCTTCAGGCAAATGTACAAAATGTATAAAAGCGATAAATAATGATATAAAGAATACCAAAATTACAGTACCGTATTTTACGGCATGTTTGATGCACCCCCCCATTTTATCAGGGATTATTTAGGGAAAAACTTTTGTGTGTATTTTCCTCCTGTAACCATATTTTTCTTAAAATAATATATATACGGAACCAGGAAATGTGAGGAATAGATAAAGATAATACCAATAAATAAGTAAAAAAAAATATTGTACTGTACAGTGGTCCCTCGGTTAACGAGCACAATCCGTTCCAGCATGTTGCTCGTTAACCGAAACCATTGTTTCAATGGGTTTATGGGTAATTGGTTCCAGCTCACAGAAAATTGCCTAAATTCAACAAAAAATTTAGAAAAGTGCACTTACTTTGAGGTGTGTATGTAGATGGCTCCTGAATGATGATGATGATGGGAATTAGAATGGGGATGGAGGAGAAGGGAGAAGAGAAGGCATTGGGGTGGAAGAGAAGTCACCCCGTGGCGCCATTTCACCCATAAAATTTTAGTTCTCTTGGTGTAATTCAAGATTATTTTCTTTAAATCAACACTGCACTGCATTATATATTGTCAATATGTAAAATAAATTTCAAAATGACCAATAATTTGCTTGCAAACACAGAAAAAAAGCATTTAGTTGAAGAGAGTCTCAAGCAATATGTTACCTCCACTGAAGAGAGAGAGACGAACGCCTGTTTGTGTGTTAACAGGCTGGATGGCGTGCCAGAAACTAGTTTCTTTTCCTTCAATTATGTTCAATAATTGTTAAAATGACTAAAAAATATTAATATTAAACTTTTAAAATTATTGAATAGTATAAACTTCTTGATATTTATTAAAATAGTAAGGAATTTAAGCCCTAAAACCGATTACTGTATTGGCGGACTAATACTACAGCTGGTGGACCGCCAAATGCAAGCGAAAACATGTTGAGGTCGGCTTGTAAAAAAACTTGTTAATCGAGGGATTGCTCGTCAACCGAAGTTAAGAATCTTATAGAGGGTAACTAGTTAACCGAGGGATCACTGTATTGCCAAATCAGTCAATAAAGGCTAAATGAAAGTTTAACACAGCCGCCATTTGCATACACTCCCTGCTTCACCATAGTAACGAAAACCAGCTGGGATGCCGATTCCCTTGCAACGCTCCCCACCCCCGACACTCAGCGCTCTCCTCCCTCTCCCTCACTGAGCCAGCTAACTCGTGTGCAAAGAAATGTATGTTATTCCCTTTACGTGTTTGCAATTAGGAAAAATATTTCTTTTCCTTTTTTTGCAATATGTTTATAGGATGGTGTGTGCATGTAACTGAGTAAAAATAAATTAATAAAGTTACGTATATCTACCCGAAAATATGAGTTGAAAAACAACCATAACGCTTCACAGCCCAGTAACCTGGTGGTTACAGTGACGAGTCTAACCTGGCTACTATACCATGATTAATCGCTATTAAGCATTATTATACTGTATCAGTAAACACTAATAATAACAGTAAATCCAGTGAAATATGGCAGGACCGAGGAGAGTTACAAGAGCAGACGACGCACTAACTAGCAAATGCAGTCACTCACTCCCCTTACTGCTCCCGTTGCCAGGCATACATATGGTGGATATACATCTTGTAGTTTAATTTGAAAACGTTGATGGGCACAATGATAAACAAATTATATAAACCATGCATTTACCTGCGATAACATAATAAGAAACGTTAGTATCATTACTCGAGTGACTGAAATAATATTCTTAACAACAATTGGCTACTCTGTTTATGATTCCTACTTCGGGCACCTGTGTCCTGCGCGCTGACATCTTAGTTACACGGGCCTAAGTTGACCTTTGCTCTGTTTTAGGATTGCTTTTTTGGGAGGCTTCTAAGCCCCTGGAACCCCCGAATCTTTTGAAATCCGGATTTACCGGGTCTGAATCTTCAAGGGTTCATTGTACAGTATACAGTACCAGTGAGCACGATATTGCACAGGTAACTTCCCATGTAAAAGGAAGATCCCTGTTGGTTTAGGGGCGGTGGGTCAGAGGTCATGGTCATTGCTGTTAAAACAAGAAATTTGGTTTCTTGACTAAAACTTTACTCTCTCCGCACCAGTGAACATGATGTAGCATAGTTATCGTAAAGCTAGGGAAGGGAAGGCATTTAATCCCCTTGCCTTTTTGCTTTTGTGGTCACACCAGGTATATTTTATACTACTTGTGGTACTCCTGTTTAATTTAGAGACTTACCAAGAAGTTACTGGTACTCCATTTCTTGATAAAGTATGAAATTATAGTATCAGATACAGTAAGGTTAACAAGTGATATTCGTTCTTGAATAAGTGCCTGATAGGTGAATTTTTATTAAACAGTTCCCATTTTTTTTTATTAGATCCATATTAAATCCTGAGATGCATTCCAGTTCAAAAATTTGTGACCCAAAGCCCCATAGTATAAACCTAGATGCACTCCAGCTCAAAAATTTTTGACCATAAAACCTAACCTAGGAAAGATTAGACATGTGTATATACATTGTGCAGGAACACTTACCAGAACTCAAAGTTAATACTGCTTGTGTTGGCCTGGCATTATTGGTTGAAGGTGAAGATGGTTTGTGGGTGGCAGGGATAGTCACTTACTACAGAGCTCAACAGAATCCCCTACTTTTTTGCCAGAGTCCAATTGCTGTATTACATCTAATTGTGTCTCCAAGGAGATGGTTTTGATCTTTTGGGTGGCACTGCTTGTAGTGCTGCTGGGTTTGATAGTAAAAATAATGAGAAACAAGCTAAAAATAAAGGCAGAGAACATGATGATAAACAGACATTGCCAAGTTGTGCAGGCTAACTGACCAAGCTGGATTCGCCCTGCCACTGACATCTCGGTCTACAGAAAAGAAGTTTTTAAGTACACTTGCCTAGTTGGCTGCTCAGCCATTAACAATGCATGACTAACCTGACTCCATGAGTGATAATTTGAGTTGGATCAGTCAGAATTTTGCCTGATAAATTGATTAAAGATTTGTTCATTGAATTTTCATACCCTAAAACACTGCTCTGTAAATCAAATTCTTTTCATTAGGTACTCTTTCAGTGGAACCTAACTGTATTACAGTATATCAGTATTCATATTTTCTACATTAATTTCCTGTACAATTTTATTCCATGAGCTTAATTATGATTTACTGTACTTTGGCTTTTTTATACTGTAAGTACATTTCTAATCTTCAGATGGACTTCGTCGCCGAAATGTTGCAAGTAATGGTGGGGAAGTTTCTGTGTCAACACCTCAAAGTATAGATGCCACTTCATCATATCCATCCCAACCCCAAATACCAGTTACTGTTCTTCAAACCAGTGCAGATCCCATGCAGCAGATGGCTGCAATACAGCAGATGTATGCCCATTACATGGCATACATACAATAGTAAGTAAAAGCAGAGTGTATTGTAATGTATGTATTGTATATGGATTTGGACTTTTGTTGTAGCAGTACTTTGTTTCACTTATTAGCATTTGTGTTCAGTTCACATAAAGGTGTCCTTATGTGAATGCACACTTAAGTTTTTTCATACATTCACAGTTGAGTTATATACTTCTAAGCACATTTAGTCTTTATCAAGGTTTTAGTCGGTGGGTCATTGTCAAGTATTTAGCTAGTGGACTTTCCTTTCATCTTTTGTGCATCTCAATTTAAATTTGTATGATGAAAATCACTTGATAGTCATAAATTGTTTGTTTACAGATTTGAAAAAAAAATTGTGAATCATTATGTATTAATGAAAGGATGGAATGGTTAAAATTTTATATCTTGTCCAGTTTAAGGGCTATGCAGACCATATTTCCTGTCATTAATGAAAACCTTGCCAGGCTGCTTGGATGTGCAATTTACAGATTTGTAGCCATTGCCCCCTGCTCTCCTTACTGCCCTGTCACCCTATTGATTGCAGTCAATAAGCACATTGGACTCTTGATAGTTTAACGCATAGGTAACTGTCTTGACTACATCAGTATGGAAAAGTTTCTACCTGAGAACAAGTGGCAAAAGTTCTTTACATGCAAAAATTTGACTTTTGGGCTAGTTACATAATACCTGAGAAACCCTTTGTCAAGTCAAGGGGACATCTGGGCCTGTTGTAGATGAGGATGACTTATTAATCTAGTAATTCATCAGCCTTCAGCTACACAGTGCATGATGGTACCTGACTGCCTACCATATCTTTGTTAACTCTCCCTTGGCACATTACATTAATGTGAGATCTTTCTGTAATCAACATTTTGTTTTCCACAACCTGGCTGACCATTTGATTGACCTTGGGTCATGATATAATGGATAGTGAACCACTCTGTAAAATATTATTATATACATGGCATTCTCTATTCCATGATGATACTTAAGAAATAATACCAATATACTGTACCATAAGCAGATGTGATAGTTTAGACCTCGGAAAACTTTTCCCAGTACCCAGAAACATTCTGAGGATGTGTGAGTGTCTGTGCGAGAAGTGTAGTTTAAACTCTTGAAAACTTTTCACAGTACAGTACCTGGAAAAATTCCTGGTATGTTGGATTTTTCCGGGTTTGAGAAAGTTGTCTCGTTACCTGGAAATCTGTCATCCCCGGAAGAGCTCTGCACCAATTGTTCCAGCTAATGGTGATATCACTTTTCCTAATTAGTTGTTGCATTCATTTTTATCACCTTGTTTTAATACAGAGGAACTGCAAGTGCTTTCTACTTTTCATTTGGTACTCATTTCTCTAATATGCATAACTTACTCTTGTCAACCATTCTGTAATTTTTAATCACTTTCCATCCATAGTCAGGGGCTTTGTACACTCCATATTTTTTATCTCTCACTTTATGATATTTATTCTTGTCAAAATTTAAACTACAAAGCTCTTCATTAGATCCATAATAATGGATGTTTATGAAAAATGATAAGCCAGGTGAGTTCAACTTGTGAACCATTCAGGTGTGTCTACTGTATTGGTGTTTCTGTATCTAGAATTAATTGCAGTATAGGTTGACAACCCTTTATCCGAAATTCCGAAAACCGAAAAGCTCTGAAAACCGAAAGTTTTTTGTGGAGATTTTTTTTTTTTTTTTTTTTTTTTTTAAACAGGATTAGCCCACCCAGGCATAGATCACTGACCCACAACGGGGCCTGGGGGGCAAAAATGTAATAGTAATACTAATTATAATACTAATTATAATAATAATAATTATTCATAGTAAATAAAATTTTTAATTAAAAAATACACCAAAATAAAATAATAATGATAACAATAACACTGTATTAATAAAATAATAATAATAATAAAGAAATACAAGAATGAAATAAAGATAAAAAGTGAGTAACATGACCTAGACCTGTGAATTATTATTATTACCTGTATTATTATTATTATTATTATTATTATTTTTATTATTATTATTATTATTATTATTATTATTATTATTATTATTATTATTATTATTATATTCCCCAGGCCCCAATGTGGGTCAGTGACTTGTGCCCGGATGGGCTAATAAAAAAAAAAAAAAACTAACCATTCTGAAAACTGAAAAATTCCGAAATCCGAAATGCCTCTGGTCCCAAGGGTTTCGGATAAGGGATTGTCAACCTGTAGCGATATGCATCTTTGTCTCAGACCTAATGAAGAATATTTGATATATAGAAATTATTTTAATTTGTATTGTCATTTTTCCAGTATGCAGATGGGTGGTGGTGTTGGAGGCATTGCCTGGCCACAGCAAATGGTTCAGCTGCCTGCTGCACCAAATCCTGCCACATCCACTACAACTGCAACCCCAACTCCTACCTCACCCACACCTACGGTAGACCAAGCTGAACAGCAGCAACAGCAAGATCAAAATGCGCCTGCAGATCCACAGCAACAGCAACAACCACAACAGATTAGAATGAATGCACAAGGTAAATGTTTAATATTGTGAGGAAATTGTGTAAATCTAGGAAAATGACAAATATATTTGTACTGCAATTGTATCATTTACCATATGAGGCGTTCAGCATTAGATGGGGGTGAAGCGCCACCCTGGGCAAAAATGTGTTTTTTTTTTTTTTTTTTATGGATATCACTATTTTCATTCTTTCTCTATATGTTGGCATTGGATGTAACCTTCTAGCTAGAATAGAAATATGGTAGAAAGTCCTTAAAAAATAAGGTGTGATTTCGCCTCAGGCCGGGAGCTACGTATCTAGCTGTACACTCAGTCAATGAAGGTGGCTACATCCCATTCAGAGTGAGAGGAGCGCGAGCCAATGACAGTGCCCCTCCCTCGGACCATGCCCCCTGAGGCAGCCGATCACAATGGATTTCCCCTTGCTACGTCACAGCTCCTCGGCCAATCCGCACACCCAGATGCTGCCTCTTTGTTAGTTTTGGCGTGTTGTATAGCATAAGGCGGTTTAGTGTACTTTCTACTGCTATTTTTGATAACTTTTCGGCGTAACATTGACATTATTCATGTTCCAATGGTGTGAGAAGTGCTGTGCAATATCTGCCTGATATTAGAGCAAGACTCGAGTGAGGCCAGGCCTTCGGGTGTGGGTTCAGGAGCCCATTATTCCTTAGCATGTGTTTAGTGATGACAGTGCTCACGTGGACAACCCCAGCAATGCTTGGTGATAGTGATAGTGATTTTGGTATACTGTACTCATAATACAAAAAGTGACTGCTATGCATCACAAGACCTTTATGCAGACTGTGTTCCAGTACAGAGTTATGTGACATGCACTGACGGCAATAATGATGTTGAAAGTGAAGATGAAAATGGTGAAAGTGAGTCTAATGGTAACACAAACAGTAACACTAAGGTATCAACTTGAACATAGACTATGAGGAGGTAGAAGTGGACAGTGATGAGACATGCATTGACCTTGATCGTGATGAAAGTGAGCCTGACCCAACGAATGCTAGTGAAAGTGAGCCCACACCTCAGTCTTACAATGAAACTGAACTGTTGCCGGCATCAATAATCAATGATTTAGTTGATGAAGAATCTGTGTGGCGATTTTTAGAGAGGACAGAGAAAGACTTCGATCAGGACGTGATTGATTATGACGAGGCCATTTAAGTTATATGCATTTCTCAGGGTTTATGTAACTTCAAGTTACTGCGATCTTCAGGGATAATAAAACGAAGGAACTAAACAAAGTAAGATTGTAATACTATTGTCATAATACTGTTTTTTCCAGAGATAATGCAAACTCTCTCTGCCTTTGTATTCGTATGTTAATTACGTTAGGGGGAGTGTAGTGGTGTTTCCTTATTATTACACACTATTATACTTAACAATATTATAAATCTTTGGCTAATAATAGGGACGGAAAGATAAATACTGATAGGCAAATGAGTTTTTATTATTATTTCATATTTGGGGGGTATTATGGGCGGTGGGTGTAAGACGAGTGCTGTTTTTGGTGATCATTAACTTGTTTTACAGTATTAGTCCACAATAATACAGTAATACGAAATTTGCAGAAAAATGCAATTATTGTTGGTTTGAAGCTCAAACAACCGTACATAACGGGTAGTTATTCTCATTCAACTCGTGATAAAATAATAACTATTCACAGTACTAACTTCCAGTTTTCATAGTTTGCTAGGAGAGAGATTGAGCTGCACGATAAAAAATGAACCCTCTAGCTTAAAAAACAACTAAGTTATGGTTGTTTGTACTTTGAAAAACTTTAAACGCGTTTTTCTCCGCTTTTTAAATTTGGCGCTTCACCCCTTTTCTGTCGTAGCGCCTCATATGTTATATACTAACCGGCCTACTTACATTCTTTTTGTCTTTCTCCAGCATTCTTTTTTTTTCGGGGATTAGCCCACCCGGGCACAGGTCACTGACCCACATCAGGGCCTGGGGAGCAAAATATAATAATAATAATAATCCTATAAATTAATAATCAATGAAGAATATACAGAGTGTATATATATATATATATATATATATATATATATATATATATATATATATATATATATATATATATATATATATATATATATATATATATATATATATATATATATATATATATATATATATATATATATATATATATATATATATATATATATATATACACATATACGTATATACACACACACACACACACACCACCTGAGATCCCAAGCCCGAGAATTGCTGTTCGACACCACAACCGCATCCAGCCCATACGTGCACGAACTGATCGCTATAAGAACAGCCCAGTCCCAACCATTGTAAAAATTATCAATTACTTGTAATAAACCAGTGTATTCACTCCCAGTAAATACTACTACTTGCACTGTCACCATGTTGAAATGCACTGTAGTTTGAGCTTTTCCCCATCTAGTTATTATATATCTTATTTGTATCACTTATGTTACTTGTATATTATTTGTAATTCGAAACCCATTCCCCAAATATGTAACTGTATATTTTCAGCCTTCTGGCTGCCAAGCTCTTTCAATTAACCGTTAATTATTATTATTATTATTACACACACACACACACACAGAGTGGTGGGCACGGAACCGCTAATTAGCAAAGCTAACTTTCTCGTTAGCGGATTAGCGTTTTTGCTAACTTTGGAAACCATTAGCGGACCAATTAGCTTCCGCTAAATTTAGTTCCGCTAACTTTAAGTCCGCTAACAAAATTTATACATGTTTGTTCCTGTCTGTTGTGAGTGTGTGACACCGCCTCGCCTGTCTCCAATTGCCAGTCAGGCACACTTGGCTGACTGCGTGTTATTACGTGTGAAGTTTAGAGTTTTCTGTTTATTTACATGACTAAGACCAACAATAAGTTATATAAAAATGCACTGGTATAATGACTAAGACCAAAAATAAGTTATATAAAAATGCACTGGTACAATGTGTATGTGGTTGGTATTGCATATTTACATGAATAATGAATAAAACCAATAGTTTGTATGAGAATGCAAATTAATTATTTGTGAAATTGTGTACAGTGTACACCTTGATAAGTTGATCATCTGATTTTGGCATGATGCTATTTGCTACCTATGCTATACAGTACTATAGTATTTGGATTCGTTTAATACTTTCTGTCTTTTCGTACAGTAAATAAAGATTATAAAGTGTATGTTGAAACTTGAATGTAAACTAAGGTTTAATTTCATTTGTTCATTTAATTATTTGTGTACACCTTGATCATCATCTGATCTTGGCATGCTATACCTTTTTGGAAAGCTCTATGTCTAAGCTACAAGACAACATATGAAAATTTCAGCTCTCTAGGTCTGTTTTTAAGGGTTTGAGAGCAAAAAAAAAAGAAGCTAAATTCATATAATAAAAGTTAGCGGTTAGCGTTAGCTTCCACTAATTTTTTTAGTTGTTTAGTGTTTGCGAAATTAACTTTTTAGTTAGCAGATTAGCGATTAGCGAATTTAACTTTTCGTTTAGCTGTGCTCACCACTGTATACACACACATAAATTTTTTGAAGAATCACACACAGTTTAATAATTTATTTCTCGTACAGTAATGAATATTTTTCAGGAAAGTCATGAAATTATGCAAGACAGGTTCAGTGAATTTCATGATGAACTTCATTTTGTAACCGATGTGACTGTACAGTACAGCCTTTACTATTATTATTTATCAACTTGTTTTGAGTTTCCAAGAGAATAACTATTTCAAGTTTTGTCATGATAACTGCCCAAATTATAATGTACGTAATTATATTTTCTCATGTAACAGGTGGCGAGGTAGATGATGATGATGATGATGAAGGAATGGGTCGTGATTGGTTAGATTGGATCTATGTATTATCACGGATGCTGGTCCTCCTGTCTATTGTGTACTTCTATTCCACACTCTCCAGGTTCATGATAGTCATCTGCATTGCCATGCTCTTATATCTGTAAGTTGTGTTTTTGTTCTAATAGTTTCTGTAGCTTTGAGAATGAGAGATATGATATAGGAAGAAAAACAAATTTTTGAGGACTAATTTTATTTTCCTCCATATCTATGATAATTTTAAGGGTAAGATATACTGTATATTTATAATTACGGTAGTTGATAGAAATGCCCCCAAACAACTTAACACAATTACTCTTCTCTCACAGTCACCATCATGTGTGTGTCTCCCTCAGGTTCTGTCAGTACATTTATCATTTACACATAAGAGTACCATACATATGCCTTTCATCAAATAGAGTAAACCCTCAATTTGCACAGTGGTTAGTATTCTGGAAATCAACTTTGAAGGAGCAGCTAATGTGTATGGAAAGCAGCCATTAATTGTTGAAATTAGCTATGGTAATGCTGTGAGTTGGTCACAGACATATCACCTTTCCACCTCAAAGTGATGAATACTTCCTGCCTTATGCATAGAAGATGTTATTAGAGTAAACATAATTTTGCATAGGTTAGCCTTCATACTTTAGATTAGCCCTTACATGTAATGTTTGGTTTAATGTACTCTCATAAAACACTCAACAAAATTTTGGTGTTGGCATTCTCTCAAACCTGCCAACACCACTGCTTTCTGCTGCATGCTCAGATATTCTTCCATACTTTAGGTTTTGGTAATATACAGTATACTGTAGTTTAATTTACCATCATATCACTGTAGATAAAACACTGAGTAAGTTCTGGCAATGAGGTTCACACCCTCTGACACCACTGCTTCCTACCATATACAGTTGTTGGTTTAGTTGTGTTTATATACTTTGACACATCAAGATTAAGCATAAATTTACTTGATTAGTCTTTATTATTACATCTAAAAATTTAGCTGTGATCAATGTAAACTCAGAAGTTTGTGGGTTACAGGTGCCTTGTGAATACTGTACTGTACTGTATATGTATGTTAAGATATGTGGAAGACAGCAGCAATTAAGGAGGGATAATTTGGTATTTGAGTATTCTTGACCCATTTAACTACTGTACTGAACCATTATAGGTGAGATTGTACTGAATATTAAGAAAAATTTTCACAATTATCTGACCAAGTACAGCACACTGTTTGAAAAAATGTACCATATAAATTGTGAGTTTACTGCATAAGTCTCTTTGTCACACTCCATACAAATGTCTTACTCCTTGTGGATGTCCTTCACACATCATTCCTGTGACTTTATACTTACATATGCCTATCTCAAACTATATATGACTCTCCCGACAGAAGACTTTCTCTTAGCAAATGCCTTTCAGAAATGCTCCGTCCATGAGCTTCTCTAATATTTTCTTTACAGATACTGACACTAGGCAGTCTTTTAGGGGCCATTTTCACACTGAAATACTAAAGTTTTAAGTACAACACCAGAAATGCTGCGTCGCAGGCAATGATTGAATGCGAACAAAGGTAGAGGAGATGCTGCGAGCGCATGGGGGTCACTCGTTGCGCTGCAGGAGAGGCTCATAAGCTGCTCGTCACCATCTGCTTACCGTGGATAGTCAAAATCTCGAATCGCAAACCAGCAAATAGCAACGGTTTACTGTACTCGACATACATGTCATTTTCTCTCACACTTGCATGTTTGGGTCCATTTTTCATCATTGGGATCATAATTACAGTATATCCTCCAGGATTTGAGTGGACACATTTAGTAGCTTTGCCAAATTCATCATAGCTTTTACGTGTTAAAGAATGGGAAACTGCACCTAAGACGTTCAAGAATTCTACATGGTGCTTTAACTGTCACAAAAATTACCAGTCACAGGTTGCATTTACTGTATTAAGAATCAAAGAAGTGAAAGGAAGGAAGCAGGAAGAAAACTGAAAGGAATTAGCAAGGGAATAAGAGAGAAAATGGAAAATACCATATTGAATAGAAAGTGTGAAGTTTAGAAGGTGTGGCCAAAGAAATGAAATTAGTTGGATAAATGGTAAACCCTTTACTTCACCCAGAGAAATAGATTTTTTAATAACAGGACTGCTATTTGTAATGTACAATACCTTATTTCTTCACTCTCCATTCTTGTTTCTTACACACACAATATGTGTATGGGAAAGACATAATATTATTATGTGTTGGCCATACAGGTACGATCTCTTTAGGTCTCAAGCAATTCTTCATTACTTTATCTTCAGTATCCACATACATAACTCTTGCACAAGTTTCCTCTGCATTTGTTTCTTCTTCAGATATTTGTACCACCACAACTCATTTCATATTAACCACGTTATCAGTCCAATCCTCAGGACTTGATTCTTTCCCCATTCTTGGCAGCCAGGTTTCAGAACCCAAAAAGTTCCTGTCAAGGATCTGTGGCAGTGTTTCAATTTTAGATTAGATTTAAGAAATATTTGTTAAGTTATTAGTTTTTCTCATGCATGTTTGTTTTATTGGTGAAAGTTTCAGACTTATGATTATTACTGACACACAATTTATTCTTATACAAAATATCAATTACAGTACATTACCTTTATCCATTGTTTCTCTAAAAAAAATCATGTAAGATTTAGACAACCAAAATAATTTATTAGCAGCTTGCTGCCATGCAGGTGGACTTTCTTTAGCCTTGCCCATCTTTCAATTAGTTGGGAACCTATGATGGTAATTTATCTTATTCTTATTTTTTCTGCAATACTACCCTTCCCAGTAGTCAGGTAGACAGCCAGCCGAACCATGAATGTGTGTACAGTACTTTTGTAATTTTTTTGCTCTAAGGGGTAGTTGGATCTGTATGCATCAAGAAACTGGTGGGTGCCACCCTTACACTTTTGAGCATTTTTCATCATACCTCACACCACTGAATTAAGTCAAATTTGAAAATTACTGCAAACCCATCAAGTAGAGCTTTTGAGATGGAGAATGCAAATACGTCGTGTAAATTTAATATTTATTTCCAATGTATTCATATGTATACATGAGAAAACCAGTTATTAGAAAATAAGCAAACAAAATTAATTAATTGTTGTACAACCCTAAGTTAAGGAAAAGGTGATACCTGTATATTTGAATAATTTTCTTTTTATGTGAACAATTAGAAGGATTTTCAAAATATTACTTGCCATATATAATAACATGAAGAAAAATTATACACTTCAAATGAAATTGCAGGTGAGATACAGTATTATGATCTAATGATGCAATAATCAGGCAATATGTGGACAAGGTAAATAGCATAAATTGGAAAATGATGAAGTCAGAATGACTAAATATAAAACAAAATTAATGTAGATGTGATTAAATAGGAATCTCTAGTTTTAATCTCAAGTTCTGCTTGTTAATGCAAAAATAGAACCTCAACACATGTATGTCAAGCCATTTAGTCCATTAGTCATCTCCTTACTCCTCGGGAATATTGGATATACCAGAAACTGTCTATTCGTTTTTACAGTCACCGTCTGTGCGACAATTACAGTGTGTAGTGCACGACAGTATGGCTGACTGACAGCTGCACCTATTTGTGGAACATGGTGACTGCAACTTGCAAGAGCATGCCACAACCATCAAAATGGTTGATGGAACAACACAATGTACCACTGGAATTGGAATGCATTCTTTAAGTTTCCACCTAAACTTGGAGATGTCAAACTTTGGTTGTTCTAGCTGATCTACTGATCTCCATATGAGAACTTGAAGTTGAGCTCGCTTGATGTGCTGTTGCAGCCTCATCTGTGGGCGGAAGACTATGAATTTTTGGTGGCTTCTTTTTCCTGCTGAATAATTTAAATTTCAAGTTGTTGATAGATGATGATTCTGGATCACCATACAAAGACAACATGAACTCAGTTCCTGCCTGCAACCAGTCCATTTCATTGGCATCAGGGTCAACAAATATTTCTAAACTAAGATCTGACTATAAGCAACTTCATGGCTGAAACTTTCCCCTTGCCAAATGGATGCAAAACTGAATCATTACCCTGACAAAGTGTGAATGGTGGGAAGACTGAAACACTTGTCTTTCAATTTCAAGGCTGTAGCATTAATATCTATTTTCCCATCATATTTTCTCATGGACACTTGGCAGATGGGTTGTACAGCTAAAAGAAGAAGACCAGAAGCACAAAATTATCTGTCATCAGCTAAAATTTGTATGTGGCTCTTCTTTGGCAGGAGTTCCAATAGGTAACTGATAATGCGCACATTAGCCTCCTCATGACCGAAGGTGCCATCTTCGCCAGTCAAATGCACTGATGAATTTTTTTTATTCGGTTTTGCACAGTAACTAAATCAAAGCCTTTTTATTTTTCTCACATTTCATAAATGCATCTATTGCAGGAAGTATTGTGTTACAGTACTGTATACTCTTGGGGAACAGTGCTTTTTGTACGTCTCCTTCGGTCCTGGGACTTAATCGACTGCTCATTGTATCGATCAAATATGATATAAGTGTCATGAGATCTTGTGTAAGAGTTTGCAAAATATTTTGAAACAGTCAATTGTAGCATTCATGGGCATCCACTGAGCAAAGAGTATCTGGGATACATGCTGCCAACATATTTATCAGGACTGCTTTGGTCCCTTTTCGTGTATTCCCATGTGACAAAGGCAAAGGAGAAAGCTCGTGTCTTAAGAGCACAGACAAATCAATATTTCTTCTTTGGGAAACAACCAGGAGGCGCACATAATTTTTCTGTTATAAATCTTTGAAGAACTGATTTTTACACTATTTTTTCACAATTTCCATTGTCACAGCTTCATTTTTCAAGGGAACATGGAAATTGCCAGGAAGCCTGCATATTCAATTTTAATTGATAATTGTGCATTTTACATGCCTTCAGTTTTTATTTAGCATCATATTATTAGGTTTGAATTTGTCATAATTTTATCAGTAAATGCCATGTTGAGCAAATCTTGAAGAAAATTTAAATTTAGTGTCTTATTATATCAATTTTTCAGTTTTAAATGTTAAATTTGCTTTCCCATGTCATTAGCTTTAATTTAATATCTTACATGACATATTTGTTGTAATTTTCTAATTTGACTTAATTCAGCCTAAGGTGGTTGGCAGAAGGGTGCCATAAAAAAAATTTCTTAACCGTGCTGGGGTGACACCCATCATTTTCATTAAGTACTGATGCTCAACTACCATTTTATGAAAAAAATTGCATTAGTGCACACCTCTATGGTCAGGTGCCTATTTTGGGTTTATCTACTGGGCTACAAGGGAGTCCTTTGCTCAAAGGATGGCCATGATAGAAGAACCTCCACATTACCCTGTCAATACATATCTCTTTTGCTGTCTCTAATTCCTGCATCCCCTTACCTGTTTACTCCTTAATGTACTGTTTCACACATCCCCTCCCCCCCTTATGAACTAGACTGTCTGTCTTTGTCTAACTTCCATGTTATAATGCTCCTGTATATATCTTTTACTGTCATTTTCACATGTCCATCCAATCTCAAGAAGTCTCCCTTTATCCAGTTCATCACTCCTGTGCTCATCCACCTTACCCTCTGCCATTCCATATACTGTACTACAGTATTCACCTCACGGTTTCTTACCCCCTTCAATACTGTTAAACCCAGGTACACCCCTTCAGTAACTTATTTGTCTAGATCTTTTTAGAAAATTTAATTTAATTTCAAACATATGTTTCACTCCCAAATGGCAGTGTGGGAAGTACATGTATTGTACTGCTTTATACAGTCTGTCAGTTCTCTTTTCACCTCAAAGCTTATTTTCCATCCCTTAATGAAAGTTCCCTTCTCTTTAGTCACACTCCTTGTTTTCCTTGATTTCACCTGTTAATCTAAGGTAATTTAAGATGTAAGGCAGAGTAAGTTAGGTAGCACTGAAGAGGAAACCACTTCTTGCTTGAGAATCTTTCTTATTTACCTAGATATTCCCTGCTAAGTTATGGGTGTTTCTGATATAGCAGGGCATACAGTAAATTTTCTCCTATGCTGTCTGACATTTGTTATTTGAGTGTGCACTCTAGTACTAAAGTTGTGGACAGATGCATGGAACTTACACTCTACATCCTTTGTATCTTTTCCATAAAAATCTTATCACAACCTCTCTCAGCATTACCCTTTCAACCAACATTATCAAAAGCCTTTCTTCATTTCATTTTAACCATTAATCTCTTTCATTCTTACTGAAAATTTAATGTTACCATTAAATTATACTCTTCCACCATTATCCCATTTGTTATAATTGTAAAAAAAAAAAAAAATATTTCACTTTACAGTACTGCCCATTCTGTTACTAAATGTCAATTTATCTGAATCCCTACAATTATTACATTATTCCTTTACACATTACATATATTCTTTCTTTTTATTTGAATAAATTAGCATTTATTTGTAAATTTTGTTTGTTAAATATTTTCAGTAGTTTAAAGGTAAGGTATCTTTAAACTACAGGTACATAGTTTGTTTAAATTGACCATCTTATAAAAAAAATTTTGTGTAAAACTTTTCTGTACTTTGTTTGATATAATACATTGATGTTCTTATTTGATTCAACCTAACCAGTTTGCATTTTGAATTTTAGGTATCAAGCTGGCTGGTTTAGACCTGCACGAAGAATAGAACAGCCACAAGCAGCCAATGAGAATGACATCAACAATATCCAAGATGACAGAAATAACAACATTAACAACAACAATAACAACAATGAAATTCCAGAAGGGCATAGAAATCAGGAAGAAGAACCAATCATTGAAGTGAATCAAGAAAATGGTGCCAACAATGAAGCTGTAAACAATGAGGGTACAGATAGGGTAGTTGAGGAAATACCTGTGCGACCCTCCATTTTCTCTCTTTCATGGACATTCCTAACGACTTTCTTCACATCTTTGATTCCAGAACAACCTCAAGCAATTTAAATATAGTCACTCAAGCAGTGTTGATACTTTTTCATCATTAGTCCAAAATAAGCACCCTAACTGTTGTGAATGTGTTCTCTAGTTAATGAAGAGGAAACATTGTAAGGTATTGGATTTTGAATATCCAGAGGCAAAGATATGCCTGTTGCATTTGTTTCCATGTGAAGATTTAAAGGTTAAAATTGCTTTTTGAGTGCCCATTACACATCAGTTGGTCATTTAATGCATCAGTGTAAGGAGCCTGAAAAAAGTGTATTTTCTTTTATTTGGTGCATTATTTCTGTAACTCCGTTTTTTAACCCTTTCATTGTATGATAATCCTAATCATTCCGATGTACTGTATATTGTATTTTTTTATCATGGGGAAATTATGTGAAAACAAAATAAAAATATTCATTTATCATATTTACACATTTGAAGGTTCTGCTCAGCAATTAAATATACAGAACTGAATCTTATAGTCTGTGGCACTTCAGGCATCTGGGTGACAATGGCATCCTTTTGCAGTATAACTGTTTTTATTATTCATGACTAAAATTTTCAGTTGTTTTCATGCAAACTATAGCACTTGTTACATTAACTTTAATATATATATATATATATATATATATATATATATATATATATATATATATATATATATATATATATATATATATATATATATATATATATATATATATATATATATATATATATAATATATAGATAAAATCACACAGGGAAAAGGGAAATAATGGAGAACTTTAACGAAAGCTAAGGTTCTTCACTGTTTCCCTTTTCCCTGAGTGATTTTATCAAGATTTACCTTATCCACTTTTCCATTGTGGATCTACATGATGTATATATATATATATATATATATATATATATATATATATATATATATATATATATATATATATATATATATATATATATATATATATATATATATATATATATATATATATATATATATATATATATATATATATATATATATATATATATATATATATATATATATATATATATATAATTTTTTCACGATGCTACTTAGTTCTACAACCTTTATGTACACAGGAATAACAGTGAAGGGGTTAAGGAATGATATATACTTATGTGGTTCTCTTTTCTTTTGTGTGCATGGTTGTTGCACATTAAACTATTAAAATTTGATCATATTTCTCAAATTTTTTTATTTATTTGATAAATGAAAATAAATCTGTTACTTGATGGTCAGTGCAACATTGAGTCATCTAATGTACACCCAGTTTCATACTAAAAAACAAAATTCACAGCATTTAAAACATGTCGATGAAATGAAGGAAGACTTTTTATGAGTCAGACAAATAATGGTAACAATACTGTATTATAAAGCAGGATATTCCAAGGAGAAGCTTCACAGGATTGGCATCATACATATATGTAACTGGTAATATAATAGGCATTTTCCTTGCACATGAAAAAGGTAGACTTTATTATCTTAATGTTATTTATATTCTAAGATGGATGACACAAATTATCCCCAAAATATTTTAGTCACTGACCATTCACACTGACCATTCACACTGTTAGTCAAGACTAACACAAACTATGAAAGCATTTGCCAAAGAACTGTGTTTGTAGGTTTGGGTATGAAGCAGTAAATAACTGCTATTATTGTAATAAATAAGAATGTATGAAAAGAAGGTTGCCTCAGCAAGTACACCTGGGTGGGTGGTATGATGCTGAAGAAAATAAGTAGAGTTTTTGTCATTGTACCACCTGTAAGAAGACTTAGAAATTGATTTATGATTATATTGGCCTTTCTCTTAAACAGTTCATAAATTATAATTTTTTTTATATAATTTATTCCATTAGTAGGTCAATTTCAGTGTCTCAAGTCTGCAGCCAGTGGGTGTATTTACCATGTGAAGAATTCCTGAAGGAAATATACTATGGTGAATAAACCAGGGTTGGCCAATTTAAACCAATGGCTGAAACCAAATTGTTTAAACTTTGGTTTAAATCCAAACAAAAACATTTTTTCCATTTTTTTTTTCTTAAAGGTGATTTTAATGATTTATAATAAATTTGGAAAATGCATAGGATAGTATGAACAGTAAATCTTTGTGGGTGGTATTACAAGTGTATGGGGTGCCAGGGAGGTTATGAAAACAGCAGGCAAACAGTAAGAGTCAATGGGAAAGAAAGTGAAACATTTGAAATAAGTGTGAGTGTTAGACAGGGATGTGTTATGTCCCCTTGGTTATTCACTATATATATATATATATATATATATATATATATATATATATATATATATATATATATATATATATATATATATATATATATATATATATATATATATATATATATATATATATATATATATACTGTATATATATATATATATGAACTCTTCTCTCTCCAATTGTACTTAAATTACCGGTAATTCTTTAAAACTTTTAACTGTAAAAGTAGATTTTTTTTTCATGTGTTAAGATGAACTTAAACTTGGTTTTTGCCTTTAAGCATGTAGGATGAGTCTGGATAACTAATCAAAGCTTGCGTGTTTTTCAAATTTGGCTCATTTCAGTGATTTTTTGAGATGGAAAAGAGTATAAATGATTGCTAAATCATCCTGAATGTAATGTTAATGATTGCATATTAAAAAGTTATAAAAAGTGCTAAAATAATTAAACTTATTAAAACCAACATAATAGTACAGTATTATTTATTTATTTTTTTATTTTTTTTTACTATACGTATATTTTTTTTTAACCAATGGTTTTTGCCAACCCTGGAATAAACTTATCTTATTTCACTTGTTTCTTACATGAAGGCAGAATCTTTCCTTCTTAATTTTAACCATTAAGTACTACTGAGGTCAGATTAATAAGTCCTTTAAATGAAAAATCCATCAGTGCTGTCAACAAATAGAATTGATGAGCTGAGAAATATTATACTATTTGTCTTCCATAATGAAAAAGTTACTTTGGGATTAGTTAACTTTGAGGTAAACTTCTACTCAACTATTCTTATATGCAAGTGGAAAGAAGAATAGGAATATTTAGAGTTAAATGCCAATATTATTGAAGGCCAGTTTTTCTACATTGGGCAAAATGCCTTTAATATCTCTAAATTTTCTTAATTCTCTGTGCTTAATTGATGTAGTCACTGTAATGCTGTACAGGTTGACCCTTCAAGACACCCTCATGCCAAGTTTGATACTGTATATGCAACTTAATAAACTATGAATGTAAAGTTGATTAATGAAATGTGACAGAGCTGTCTTGAAGTTTACAGTTTTGACTTAATAGCATATTTTGCTGTATCTACAGATATATTTATGATATATTTTTTATTATTCTTTGGGTGTTACATACAGTACATACATTAACTTTCATGACTTGGTTAAGTTGATATCTTTAAAGTTCACACTTCATTTCATTTTGAGGTCAACTTTACTAAGTTGTTATTTATTGTGGTGTGCACTACATCCCAGCAAGCATGTTTGTGGTAGGCAACAACTTTGTAAAGTTCTCCTGTACTCCCCACTTGAGTTTTTCTTCAGAATTCCTTAACCTGAACATTTCTTGGGACAAACTGGGGTTTTATAATTTATCGGTTTATACTGTTCTGTGATTACCAAGTATATAGATTATATTTATTTCAAAGCATTGTCTACTTATTGTGTCAAGTTATATGGATTTGGATTGATTGTATAGCGTTTGTTATTGGTCTTTGGACACAATATTGGAAAGTTTGGTTATCTACACCTTTTTTGTATTGAAGTCACTTGTATATGATATTATTGTAAAAAAAAATATATATATCAATGATGCTTTATTTTGTAAATTACGCATGGAAGTGTATTGTACAGATAATAAAGGTCAGAATCAGAAAACATTTTTGTTATCCATAAATAGAACAATGCATATAAAATTAATATTATTTGCTGATAAATACTGTTTAGAATTGTTAGTACAGGTATTTAGTGATTGAGGTTGAAATCTTTTTGAACGACACAACATAATGGGATACACCATTAAATTTTAAAGTTGGTAAGTTTTTTTAAACTGGCAGACCTCTGTAATGATGTAAAAGGCGATTTTCAATGATTTTTTTTTTACGAGCAAGGCGAGGAGGCCATGGAGGAAAGGTGGGAAGGAGAGGGAGGTGGAGGAGGTTGGTTGTGCCTGAGAGCCGTGCCTGCCTGCCTGGCCACCATTGCCAACACACCAGCACTCAATTTTTATTGTGCTTGCAGTTTCACGACCTGCAAATTTATTCTTAAATAAGAGAAAAAAATGGAGAAGTAATTGAGAAAAGTATACTAACATTCACGCAAAAGTTCCCTCGGGTCGGAGGAGTTAATAAAAATGTGCGAAAAGTTGGCCAAACTCGCGAATCATGAAGCAAATGTGACCGAGTGTCCAGTCCCCCCGTCTTCTTTCCTTCCTCGGGCCCATCGATGCTTTCCCGCACGGTGATTGGCTAGCAGCGAGTTACCTCAATTCTGATTGGCTGAGAGAAGCACCGAAGACAAAGCCATTTTGTAAACAAACATTCAGCTGACAGACGCCGGACGGCCGATCAATGGCATCTTTTAGTATTTTTCTCCTCACTTAATGGAAGTGTGTTGCAGAGAACAATTACCTTTACCCATGACAGATCAGGGTGAACTTAGTGATGATGAAAAAACACACCGTATTGATCCCATTCACATTGCTGATAACATGGAGTTGAAAGTCACGACCGAACCCAACCAAGCCCAGGTTGACCAAAGTGATGGTGGCTGTGAGGCCGGGGCTCGGGGGTCAAGTATGGGCCCTGAAGCTGTGATACAAAGCCCTGGTGGTGAACTTAATGGACATATTAGTGAGAATACAACTGGGAAAAGTGATTCGGTCTATGACTTTGATCCTGACACTGAGGGGGAAATGCCCCCTTCTAACTTAGATGACTCCTCTGAAGCCTCCCCAGATAAACACAGTGACAGAAGTGAAACATCTGACAGTAATGTCAAAAATGAGCCAGACCTTGAAACTCTCGATGACTCGGAGATGGCAGAGGATGAATCCGTCTCGGAGTCGTTTGATGGTCCAGAATATCCTCTGGATAACGAAGAGAGCATAAGTGACACTTTCGAAGGCATTCCAAGGCGTGGGAGGGGTCGTCCTAGAGGGAGCAAGAATAGAGTAGATGGGAGGGGACGAGGTAGAGGTTTTAAGTTCAGAAGAATATCAGAAGATCGTACCTGCACTGCCTATGATCTACGCAACATTCCAGACCCATTTGCGAATCAGCGACGAGGGCGTCCCCGGAGCAGATTTATTGTGGATCTCGGGGAGCAGAACCACGAAGCCTGGACCAAGTCAAAAGAGGAGCTTAATATTTCAGACGCAGAACTCACAACTTTATTGTTAAGTTTGTAAGTTGGAGCACGTAATGCAGTGTCTTTTTTTTGGTGTTTTATCACAGTGCATGAATTACCAGGCTCGGCTGTCATTCCAGTTGAACATTTGGATGGTGAACACAACACCTGAGTTAACATGTCCATTGGTGTCATGCTTTATATTATGGCTTCGTTTATATCAGAAAAACCCGGTATTGTTATTAAATAGTTTGAGGGTATTTAGGAAATGGAAATTATTAATAAAAATGAAATGGTCTTCAGATTTTCATTATATTTACATTATTAACAAACTATCTTAGTACACAAAACACTTCTCTTAATGAAATAATTATATGGTGTAGCCTTACAATTCTTAACCAACTATAGTACTATGTAATGGAGACTCATGGAGGTGTTACTGAAATGTTATATCAACAATTCAGAGGAAATTAGCCATATGTTTAGATAGCATGTCTCACAAACTGAGGTTATTGGCATAATTACTATCATTGATTTTAGTTGAAGTTCACCCATTGGAAAGTCATTATTTTCACTGATATATTAAGCACAATATAAAAAGAATATTAGGAAATGTGGCCGCCAGCAAAAACTGACTCACCTGCTGAAGCCACAGGTTACCACCCTAAACAAAGAAAGTTATCCAAATTATCTTCACACTGGAAATTATTTTATGGGAAATCTCTTTATAAGTTTAGAGTAATGATTTAGTCTCATTCTTTTGTGTGGAATTAACTTTTAACCGTAGTGTTCCTTTGTCCAGATGATGGTTGGAAGGTCAGTCAACAGAATCTCCATTTTCTCTTGTTATTGCAATGTTGTTATTGTTCTGGATGATGTAAAGAATATCCTAAATGATTCCTAGTTCTTCTGCTTATTAAAATTTGAATATTCACATTCATAATAAAATACCAAAGTACCACACACTACAGTACCAAATATTAATTATAGTACCTGTGAGTTAATTTTTATGAGTGGATTGTAAATTTATACCATATTGAAATATTCTAATTAGTTAATTCAAAGAAACATATTTCACAAGAAGAAAACTATTAAATGGAAGCCCACAAGATCTTAAATTATTGTTATCTTAGCAGTGTCAGTGATTAAAATATAATGTTGGTACTGGACTGTACAGTATTAGGTTATTGTTCGTTATCCACCCATCACCTTTTTTCACATGAAAAATTTATATTTTTTGTTAGTTTCTTGCTGTTTTAGATGATTCTGACATCTTTGGGGCAAATCACTTTTTGTTTTTTTAGTTAGGTTAGGTTGGTTGGTTCATTCTTAAGGTATGAGAATAGGTTATTTTTGGTGTGTTTGACTCAAATCTTGCCTACATTTTTGTTGTCAAATTAGTAGTTTCTGTTAAAATGAAAATGTTAATTTTTGGCAAAAAAAAATTAATTTGAAAAAAAGTGAAGGTCAGATTTGAGTAATACACCAAAAATAACCTTTTCTCATACCATAGGAACCAATCAACTTAACCCAACCTAACCTAACCTAACCTTACTAAAAAAAAAAGTGATTTGCCCCAAAGATAAATGTTAGATTCATCTAAAACAGCAAGAAAAATAGCAAAAAATATTATTTTTCATGTGAAAAAAGGTGATGGGTGGATAACGAAAAATAACCCTGTATTATGCTTGTTTGGGAGGTGTGCTCAGCTCTATTGAAGGATATATCTTTATTACATCTACAGTTAAAAATTGTTATATTGTTGGGTGTACAGTATATAAGGTAATGGTGGAGCAGGTAGCTAACACCAGAAGTTTTTTTGTTGTGTTTTACCCCACAATTTCCCTCATCCCTCATGCCCTGCCCACTACAGGTGATTTATGATTGTAGATAGAGAAAAAATACTTAAACTTATAGGAGAAAGTTGCTGTATCGTTTTTATTACTTAGAGTCATCTAAAGAACATCTGTGAAAAAATTAACAAAATCAAACAACTTCTGGCGTTAGCGGTCTGCTCCACTATTACCGGTTATACATACTGTACCATACTACATGTAGTCTTGGGATCTGTATATAAATCATTTGTGACTTATGATACAAACTAACCAAATCTAAGAAAACAGCTAAAGTCAAAAAATTGGCAAAGATCATTAAGTTTAGCTAGTTAGTTTTGGTTTGGTTGGCATGTGTCATTATGCAGTCATAACTGTTTTATACTGTAGTCCCATGGGATTTCAAGACCACCAATTCCATGATTATGCACAATACTGTACATAATTCATATTGTAAATGAAAAAAAATATCTGCACACAATTAGTTGGAAGAAATTTTTTTTAGAGTCATTTACCAGGCTTCTACCAGTAAATAAAAGTATTTAATATTCATGATAAAACCTCCTCCCAAAATGTTTAAGTTACAGTAGTTTGTTGAACCAACAGTAGGCCACCTGTGTGTATTGTACAGGTACGGTATTGTACTTTAAATTTTTATTAAACTGTATCGTGTGTCTTGATATAAACTTTAAGATCTGTACACAGTTGGTTGATGTGTTAGGTTGTATTTATTGTTCATTTAATAGCAGCACTTGCTGAATATTATGAAAGTTGTTGTTTGAATCAAATTAAAAGGGCATATATCAGTGGATGTGGTAGCCGTGCTTATGGTATAAAGCACTTCAGAATTTCTTTCTCTCTTACTACATTCAGTGAGTGCCAGTATCTTTTTGTGTGAGTAAACATAACTGTATAGACTGTGTCTTCAATCAGATTATCAATTGCTTAACATATAAAGCATGACATGGCATGGGAAAAAAGAAAAGTGCTTCATAAATTTTTTACTTGAAGACTCAAACTACAGTTTGTGAAAACTAAGAGCAAACTTTTAACAGTTTCAGGGAAGTGAAATTGTGTTTGTCTTCATTAAAGACAGTTTTTATTCATATTAGTGTACAGACTAGGTTTTGGAAATTCATCTTTATATTGTTATGTTGTGGGTATAAATTTACAGTCCTGTATTTATGAGTGTATACAAAAGATTAGCATGGGCTGAAAATATGATATGAAACATCCAATTTACACTAATTTAGGATTTGAATTTAAGAAAAACTTCGCAATAGGACCTGAATTTATTTATGAATATTTTTTCCAATAAGAATTTCATTGAAATGCTTGTTTTAATATATGGAATGCAAATTCACTGGAAGAGCAAGGACAAAAGAAAACAAACGGCTAATGAGCCGATCAGTGATGAAGAGGATAAAAGTAAAAGTAAAGAAAATGATTGATTGATATACAGTACTGTGTACTGTACTGTACAGTACTGTATTTATACTGGAGAGCTCATATCAAGATTAATTTGTCTCTCAAGCAATTCAATGAGAGCTATCCCTTGTAGGTCCTGTGTTAGTACAGAAGGAAATTGGAATGTACCCTGTACAGTACTGTACTGTAATTGTAAAATTATAGGTAAGGTGAGGTTTTTGTGCTCTACTTCATCGCTGATTATCAAAATAGTGTTTTCTTGTTCATCCACTGGATTTGTGTTCTGTGCAGTAAAGCAAACAGAGTAATGAAAATCATGTAGAAAATATCCTTAAATATGTGTAGGTCCTTCTTATGAAGCAAGTTTTATCACTGAAAAGACATGCTGTATCATTGTAATAAATATTTTTTTTTTTTTTACCATTAGAACTTTTGGCCATACTGTTGATATTAATATACTGTACAGTACTGTACTGTACATACAGTATATCAGTATGTATGTGATGCCTTTTCAAAGCATAGTACACAATAAAGAACATACCTTAATGCAGTTATCCCACAATTCTATACTGTATACCGTACTGTACTGGTATGGTATTGTATGACTTAATTCATTCTCCAGTGATAATTAAATTTTTTTCAGATATCTTTTATAATAGCTGAAATTTAGGGTAAAATTTTTAATTCTTTTGCAGTCACCATTTATTATTTTTGCATCGAAGCCTAGTGTAGAAACATTGTTGCAATACTATATTGAAATTTAGAATTTCCAGAAATAGATTTTAAAATAATGACCAGTATAAGTACTCTGTACAGTACAGGGTACAATAAATTTTATTAGCTATGTAAGGTGTGATGCAAAAATAATGAAATTTCCTTTCACAAACCTTCTTCTGTAATGAACAAAAACATTAAAGCCTGTACTTCATATATTGTCATTCAATTTACTAAACTGTATTCTTTGATTTATATATTTTTGTACTTAGTAGGTAACTGTTAGCTTGAATCTTTGTACAGTACAGGTTGTACCTCTCTAGTCCGGCATTCTGTGGTCCGGAAACTCCCGTGGTCCGGAACGATTTTAGTTTGCCCATGGAGAAAATTAATTTGAGTCTGGTACTTTCGATGTTTGTCTAAATTTGGCCTTATTTACCCTACTTTTTTGGCGAATTACTACCTGTAATAAAGCAACATCCTAATAAACCAACGAAAATAACACAGATAAAGTTAAATAAAAACTAAAAACAACACAGAAAAGTTCTTATGTTCTACAGCTTTAGCTAGAGTTGAACCTGATGGCTTGTCAACTTCGTCATCCGAGTAAAAACACACACAACAACATTGGCTGTCTTTATGTTTTCAGCTTTACCACCACTGGTGGGTAGAATTTTTTTTTAAATTCAGAAACATTAATTAAAATATATATGAACAATAAATAAGTGTTGCTTTCATATTCTTATGTAGAGTAATGACTATATGTTTACACATGTGCTCACTTACATACGTGATCTCACTTTTTTCTTTACCATTAATGGTTAGCTACTTCCAATGTTCCATTTATTAACATTAAATAACATTACTTAAAACTACCATATTAATTTTACTACAGCTACAACCAGGGTCTTATTTTCTTCAATTTTATATGTAGAACCAATCAGTCACTGGTTTTGTAAACATTAACGAAAACAATACCGTCTCGTCTCCTCGTGTGTTTTAATATTCTACGTATTATTCATGAATTGTATTGTTCATTTTGCACACATAAACATTAATTCAATCAAAAAGACATTCAGTAAT